TGAACAGCCCCTTACCCACCTTTTACGCTCGAGAAAAGTTTGAGCGTCTTTGTGGTCGCCCCTAAATGTTTCGGTTTAGTGTAAACGGGACAAAAGTGTGAGGAGGGAGGAGGAAGGGGGTCCAAGGCGGCGTGTGCACCGAGCTAAACATAGGAGAGCTCGGTAGCTAGAGAGAATATGAGTGATCGGGGGCAAAAATTATGTCGTCGGTGGCATCTGTCGGGGTGGGCGGGCGGCGCTCTGCTTGGTGCTGTCAAGAACAGAGGGGGCCATCGCCACGCCATGAGCCATCGGGGTTGTGCATCTTGATAATTAAACGGACGGCTGAGAAAGAGAGGGTATGTGGAGAGAGAGAGAGAGAGAGAGAGAGAGAGAGAGAGAGAGAGAGAGAGAGATGGAGGGAGTTGTGTGTCTAAGTGGCGGGTCCCATCCTCTGCTCATTAGTGCTTAGCGCCGCCCTGTCTCTCGGCTGATCGATTATCGGCCCGTGCAGCTCGCACTGCAGCGCGTCATCTTTATTCCCCGCTGTCGTCTGCTGCGTGTGGCGCGGCGATGCTTTCTTAAGCTGCGCGTTTTGCTCGTCTGCCACCACCAGCACCATGCAGCGCTGCAGCGTGTAACGTCAGCCGGTTTCTGGATGTGGCGCTGTGTGGGCGGCTCTCGGCACGGCCTGGAATAGCAGCAGCCGCAAAGGGCGGGGCGGGCGCAGATCTGCAGGGGTCCGCCCCGTCCGTCCCGCCGGTCGTTGCGGAATGGAAGTACGCATATCACTGGTGAAGTGGAAAGGGCGTAAGTCTAATGCGAAGTCCGTGGACTTACGCCCTTTTCACTTTCCGTGGTCGTGCTCGCACCAGAGATATGACGTCAGCCGAGACGGATGTGCAACGCGTTGTTCTGCCCCCCCCCCCCCCCTTACACGCCACCGACCGACCCTCTAGAGATGATCTGCTGCAGGAAACTCAATGGAACGAAATGTGCGACGATATGGGTTTTTAGCGTTTGAGGTGATCTCGCGCGCAGTGTACGCCGCTTACTCGCGCCGCTGGACTCGCGGATCCCCGCTGCGGGCGCGCGCGCGGCCCGTCTCGCCCCAGGTGGTCTCTTTATTTTGCTTGATTTAGCCTTCCGATGGGAGGTACGCCACCCATTAACTAACTCTGTGGTTTGTTGTTTCGTAAAAGCAAAAGTAGTATCTTGCTCGTCATCCGATTCCAATTCGATACGCAGTGCTTGTCAATTAGGAATGTTAGATTTTAATTGTACGGCATCTTTTACAGACAATTTACCTGTACTACAATTTTTCACAGTGACACACGCACCTGCTTAACTGCTCCCCTTCCGCGCGCCGCGGCGTCAGCGAGGCGTTTCGCAAATGTTATTGTTTTGCGATTGTTATTACTTCGGCAGGAGGGCTCTCTGGAGACGCCCCGCCGCCCGCCGGTCCCAAACTGATTATCTCTCGTCGTAAATGAATTGCAAATCCCCCTGCCTGCCTGCTTCCCCTTTGCGCGGTGCGCACTTCCCTCGGCGTGGCGGGCGGCGGTGGCGCGCGCCACAAAGGCCCGCCGCTCCTGCAGTGTTTGCGGGACCGCCCGGGACCGCCGGGGACCGCCGCCCTGGCCTCCTTGGTGGTGTTGCCCCCGGGGGCACGGCGGCGGCCGAGGGGGCGAGGGAGGGGGCGAACGCGCAACGCGCCCAACTGCGCGGCGACGCGGCCAACCGACCGCAGAGAGACCACCCTCACGGAGCGGAGGGGAGGGGGGGGGG